AGAGGACACAAAAATAAAAATACTCTGGTAAAGTACCTCATATTTGTACTTAAGAACAGTATTTGAACAGCTGTACTGTTTATAATATTGATAGCCTGATGTTACGACCTTTGTCAATATGGAGGTAACACAAGGGAAGGTCCTTGGTGTAAAGTCAGTTTATTCTTCTGCTGTAACTGTTGACTAACACAGTATTTGTGTTGCACTTTTGCTTTTCAGACAACAATGAAACTGTTGGAAAACTCAAGCTTCGAGGCGCTCAGCTCTCGGGTGTGTGTTGAAACAGGGGAGAGTCTGGTTCCTTTGGCGGGAAGGGGGGGGGGGGTCACACTGTTCTGCGACATGAACAGCTGAGCCCACTACTTAAACATTTACTTGTATTGTTTTACAGGCACAGAAAGTCATTTTTATATCGGGAAACTGGAACTGTTAGGCTGGTTATCAGGAAGTTAATGAGCACAAATTTAAACAATCACTAGTTTGTCATTTTTCTGTCAAAATGCCAAATACTTGCATGTTCCTGTTTCACAAGGCTACTTATATACTTACTGTATAGTAAAGTGATATCTTTTTAGATTGTAGCTCCTCAAGGAAATTGATGTGCAGGTTTATCTGTTTTACATTTTTATAGAACAAAGAAAGAATCTTTTGATCATGAAAATAACAGATTAGTAATAAATAACCAGAGAAAGAATGGAGGAAGCAGTGTTTGTACTCGGCTCATATTTTTCTCGCAGCAGCGATAGCCATGTTCGTATGGTGCCGTCTCAAAGGACTTAGCAAGTTTGACTTGTTGCAAATCAACCGATTATCACTGAACGAAGATATTAAGTGGCAGTCTGGAGCACAGTAAACAAATGTCTTATCTAGCTGTCTGTGTCTGTTGTTGTATTTCATCAGGAAGCTGAAGTGTTTCCTAACAGGATGTTGTAATGATAACAGAGGGTCTTCCAGCTCTAGCTTTTTGTTTATAGCAGAAACACCACCTGCATTTCTTTTGTGTACAAATGTAGACATGTACACAACACACACCCCACTAGCTCTTGGGGGAGTGGTGCACACTCAGATCACCTATGGAGATGTGGCTCAACAGCCACACGAGCATGTCCGTGGGGCATCTGACTCTCTTTTTATGCTGAAGTAAGAACTGTAGAACTGTGAGCATGTATTGTAAGCCACCTCCAAGTGTGCTGAGGCTTTCCTTGTGCAGAACAGTCTTGCAGCGTAGGAGGGGTGTGACTGATTCAGAGGTCACATACTCCACTCATAAACAGGGCCTGTAGAGCAAAGAGTACTAGCATGTTATGCAACATGAGAACAGACTTCTCATCTAAAAGCCTACTTTGACAGCCTTTACTAAAAGTTAATAAGTAGCTGACAGTCCAAACTAAAACATTTCTGTGTGTATGCCTCCAACAGAGCTGGCAGTTAGTGACAGTGTGGTTACGTAAAGGATGGTGGGCTGTGGAGCTATTCAGCCTAGTCAGTGTGGGTGGTGAAACAGAGCCTCTGCACTGCTGTGACCTAGAGTGACACACAACATCGTGTCCTCTCACACAGCTCTTTGGCTGTTGTGAAATGTGATATCACAGCATATGCACACATAAACACGGGCAGTATTAGTGCATGATAGCCAGGAGCTGCCTAGGCCACAGGTCTTCAGGCAGCTTGGTGGATTAGTGAGGCAGCCCATAACAGCAGGCTGTAACTAAAAATGTCCCCAGCTGATTTCCAGCAGGTTACTAGTGTGTTCTAAAAATAACATTTAGATTTTGTCGAAATTAAATGACATAAAGCGGTAATAACGTTTTGTATTGCATTAACAAGCTGCACTGTGCTTCACAAATACATACATGGTGGAATTTTTTTTTTAAATTGTGTTCAGACTTCACTTGACTCTGGTCTCTGCTCTGTCATGTAGTCACTCAGTGTTTTGTCAGCAGATCAGCTGTGCTGTGTATTGAAACCCAGGGCAGTTATTTCCACTGCGCTACGCTTCACTGGCCAATCTTATAAATAGGTTGGCTGGGGGGGGGGGGCAAAATAAACAACTAGCATATCTGTATCCACAGCTGTGTGGCCCAGAAACATGAAGGAGCAGGCAGCAAATGTAGCAGTGGGCAGATTTTTTTTTTTCTTGCACTGAATTGGATCTATTTTTCCCTTATAAACCAGCTACAGACTAAAAACTATAAAAATAGTTTAATGTAAACTGTGGGTTGCACATAGAACTTGCCTTTTTTTGGTTCTCTACAATTTCTTACATGCAAGAACTCTTTTTCCTTTTAACAGTTGATTTGACACCATTGTATGCCATGACCATGTGAATGTCTCTCCCCTGAGGATATTAAATGTGTCTGCTCTGCAGGATTGAGAGCTACTCCTGTAAGATGGCAGGAGATGATAAACACATGTTCAAGCAGTTCTGCCAGGAGGGGGAGCCACATGTGCTGGAGGCTCTTTCTCCCCCTCAGTCCACCAGCACCACCAGCCCCTCACAGTGAGTACTGCAGTCCATAGTCAGTGAAAACAGTGAATGACGGGGCACAGTGTGATTTGGCAGTGAGGTTCTGGTCCATGTAGATTATGGACAGACAACTTTGTGTTTAGTTTTGTTGAATTCCCCAGTTTTCTTGTGTCCAGGCTGGGGAGGAGCAGTGAAGATGGAGAGAACCCCCTGAGTGACAAGTGTTGCAGAAAGACTTTATTCTACCTCATCACCACACTCAACGAGTCCTTCAGACCAGACTATGATTTCAGTGCGGCGCGGGCCCACGAGTTCAGCCGAGAGCCGAGTCTCAACTGGGTCAGTGTATTTTTCTGCGCCTGACATTTTCCATGTCAGATTAATGTAGAAGCTTTTTTTAAACAATCGCTTAATGTGATCTCTCTGCAGGTGGCTAATGCTGTAAACAGCAGCTTGTTCTCGGCTGTGGGAGAAGAGTTCAACTGTCTGGGGCCCGAGCTGTGGAGCGCCATCGACCAGGAGATCAATCTGCAGAGCTGTGACATCTACAGGTAGGAGTGTGTACACACACACACACATACATCATTGTGTTTTATGTGCTGCCCGGCCAAGTTATGTCACACTTGTACATTTGCCTGTGCTTCAAAGCAACACTTCTGCCTTTACATCTGTTTATGAAACTTGAAAGCATTGCACTGAATTGCGTGCAAATGTACAGGTGCGACTTTTAATTTGGCTGGACAGTGTATGTATATGACAGTTTATGCTGCTGAAATCCTTTTTGGTGTGTAGGAAAATCCTTTTCAAGCTTTATCTCTGTTCATAGCTACAACCCTGATCTGGACTCAGACCCTTTTGGTGAAGAGGGGAGTCTCTGGTCCTTCAACTATTTCTTCTACAACAAGAAGCTGAAGAGGATTGTTTTCTTCACATGTCGCTCTGTCAGGTCAGTAGCAGCAGCAACACAGCCACTGGAGTTTTCACTCATCCACTTATCAGAGACTCCTATAAAACATAATTAGTAAGAGACATATATACAGTACAGATAAAGCATACTCCCTATCAACTAGGGCCGGATCATTGGCACTGATCTTTCAATTCATTCTGATTCAATTCAGAGTGATTAGATTAGTTGCATGAGGTGCTTCTCAGATTTTGGAAGCGTTTACAAGAAGAAAAGAAATGAGTCAAGTTAATGTGCCAGTTTGTTGAGTGATTACATAAATGTTAATATCTGCAGTGTCATGAGCGGATATGGCCGTGATTGTCTGGACAATGAGCTGGACATGGAGCTGGATGATGAGGAGGAAATGGATGGCTTCACTGAGGACAGGTTAGATTTGATTCAGACTTCTGATTTTACAATATTAAAGGGAGGATGCACCAGGCACTCCACCACTATTACAGCTGTGTTGTGGTGATCAAACAAAATCTTTCATTTCCATTTGCCTTGTCTTACCTCAGGTGTCCCAGAGCTCTGTGTGTGTAGTGTGTACTCTTGGATGTGCCTTGGTTAAAAAAAACAACAAAACAAACAAAAAAAAACAAACACCTGGGCTTATCTTCCTCCCATTCTTCGCTACATCCAACTTCATTTTTTTGGAATGTTGTCATCCAAAGCCATGTTCACGTTTGAGAATAATGCATGTTCAGAGTCGTCTTCTTCTCTGCTGGTGGCAGTCTGTGCACTAGGAGGGATGTTTTGTAAAGACCCCACTCACTTGGAGCTCCTTCATTTTCCGGTGTGGTTTTTGACCCAAAGCACCAAGCACAAACAGCTGCTGAACATCTGCCATATCCCCAAAGAGACCAGTCCATGAACTTTGAATAAGGATAAGATCTTACGATGGATAAGTGTCCAAGAAAGGAGTCTGCAAACGGGCCATGTCTCTTGCAGATGCAGTGCAAGAGTCCAAATACCACCAGCACCAGTGAAAACTGACAGATAAGTACAATATTCTAACCTGGGTCCATGAAAATCCAGTTAAGACTGAGTGATCAGCTGAAAACTCCTGTTCTTCACTGTTTGCTGCCTTTGTGATGCTTTTCATGTGTGACAGTGATGTTACTCCTAAGAACTTTTTTTTTAAGCACAATTTTAAATCTTAAAGCATTTATTGCTGCAAACACTTCTGTGTGGCCAAAGACACTTTGGCATTGGAGTTGTAACTTAGAAAACCGCTTTTATGGGATGTTCATTATTATCTGGCTGTTTAATTTTATGTCATCCAGATCCAGTATATAAGTTTTTGTCTGCCTTATCTGCTGACCCTCAGTTTTAAATGTCTTGCCAGTGTTTTACTTACCTCAGTCCAAAGGCTTCATTTAAGTAGTAGAATTTAGCATAAAAAAATCTTAACAGTAAAATGACTCGTATGTTGAGTGTATTTCTGAGGTTGATAGGGTCTTTATGTTCCTTACAGCTGCAGATATACTCTGTGTGGCTGCCTCACATAGCCTGCATTTCTTGGGAGAGTTGGTTGTGTATGTCCTCAGCAATCAATGTGTACATGTTAGTAAAAAGCAGGTATATTGGCTTCAGTGGGTAGGAGTTCTGTCTTCTTTTGCCTGACCTGTGCTTTGATTGGATGATATATTGCAGATGTAAATAAACTGGTGTTCGAGTTAGAGCTGCCTGATTCTCATCTTTAAAAAAAAAAAATGGTACAAGAGTCACTCAAATGTGTGACACTCATCCTTATGGAAATGATGAAAGGAGAAGAGCTCAAAGTTCAAAAACCTTTACTGAATGAAGTACAGTACATGTCCCAGCAAGACACCACAGTGACAATGTGTGATCAGTTCCCCTGCAGTGTGAGGTCAAAGAGTCTGGGGGCTGCACTGTTAACCCTTCTTCTGTTTAGTGTAAAAATACCTTGTCCCATAGCAATGAACAAAACCCAGAGATGCTCCCAGGCCAAGATGGATACCAGTTTTTTTTCCCTATTACTGTTTTCAAACTGTGATACTCATGCATCCTCCTCCTGTTCAGCCACGGTGGAGCATGCAAAAAGTACACACAAGTTTCAAAGTGACAGGTGCATAGATCTGTTAGCAAGTTCAACAAACTCTTTCGCCAGATTAAAAATGGAAAAAAGGGTAAAAATCACATGTAGACTCGCACACAGTCCTTCAGACACTCAACAGCTTAAGGCGGAGGAACAAGTATTTTAACTATAAGCCAAAATGTTGACTTGATTATCTTAATGCTACTAAATGAGTGAAAATGTTTGCGTAACAACTTCCATAAATGTTTGGCACCATTTTGATGGAGACTTATTCTGATCCCTTTGCTTAAATTGTACAAACCTATAAAGAGGCGTACAAGCTCAAATAGGTGCAAAAAAAGGCTGGGATGCAGTGGATCAGTCACACACACACATTTGCAGAGCACCAATGATCTGTTAATACAAAACAAGTCTAGACGCTAACCTGCTGTGAACAACAATCTATGAAAACAAAAAAAGAATAAAATTAGATAACACTTCTAATGCATCATTGAAATAAGAGTTGCATTAAAAATACTCATAATAAAACTGACCTTTGTACTTGAATTTAAAAGCCATCTGCTGCTTTCCTAAACTAAATGGCTGGAGTTATTTCCAACTGTTCCAAGAGTTAGAATAAGAACATTTCATACCAACACTTTAAAAGGTCCAGGCTTCAAGTTCATAAAAAGGGAAATGTCAGACTTCACTCTATTTAAATATGGCACCAATAAATCCTACTGTGAGAATAACCACCACAGTGTAGCTTATGAAACTGAAATGAAATGGAACATATCTGAGCTAAAAATGACAGGGAAAAACTGTCAAACTCCTAATGAGCTTTATGCAGAACTTGGTGCCAGAGTTTCATCACCATCAAAACTGGTGTTAAAATACTGTTCAAGATCCCTCCATTTGTCCTGATACCTTTTACCTGAACATGAACAAACGATGAAATGGAGGCAAACAATAGTAATAATGATAGAGCTGCACCATATTTTTCCAAGCTGGGTATGTTTATGACATATGATGTGCTATAATCTAACATGTAGTGTAAATGACCAGCGTCCTGTGCAGCTATACCTTTGACATCCTCTGGCCTTGAGACCTGTTGAAATAATTACCTTCTCTGTAACAGTGGAAGCGACTTCTTGTTCCATAACCAGGTCTGGTCATATTTCCACTGACCAGGACAAGTCTCAGCTCCACTCACAGTTCATCTGTGGAATTGCCAATGCTCCCACCCTGTGCTCTCCCCAGAGGTCAAAGTCCAACTTTGTCATAAAAAAAAAAAAAAACCCACTAAAGACAAGCTGTTGTGCCACTGAGGGAGGGGCTATCTGAGCCCAGCTCTGGACGTCATCCACTCCAGACCTTGGCATAAGCTGGAAGAAATAAAGATGAAAATATCAGCACCAGAAAATGTGCTCACTTCCGCAGGGCTCACCGAGTTCAATTTAAGACTTTTTTAAAGACCTTTTTATTTTTATGCAAAAGCAGAATAACTGCAGGGACAATATGGCTGAGTGTGAAGTGAACAGTGACAATCCCACTTTCAGTCCATAGGTGTGTAACATGTCTAGATTACCAGCAGTCTGTTATAAAAACATTTTACAGCACACATATCCGCTTGTAGCACACAACAGTATATATTTAAGACATTTGGAGCTTACATTTAAAATTAATCCTTTTGAAGACCTTTTTACAGGAAACCACATTCAGTGCTTTTTCAAGTCCTGCTGATGATTAGAAATATTTCAGTATGGTTCAGAGACATCATTTGTGGTCTTAATGTTCTTCACATGTTGCAGATTATACTGTGGGTTAAGGGTGATAAGTGAATGAAATCTTCAGAATGTTTGTGCAGGTAAAAAAAAGGAAAAGTGCGCCCTCTGCTGGCTACAGGAGGAGCCCACTACACTCATGTACAATTAAAGTTCAAATTTTTACATATATTAAACTTTTGTGTGACTGTTGCAATAAATTCACATATTGTTTTTGTAATAAACACTAAAACGGCAAATTGGTGAAAAGTTTACAAAAACCCACTGAAATAAGACCCTGTATAATAATCATAATAATAATAATCACCTTTATTTGCCCAAGTATATTACACACATGGAATTTGTTTCTGATACAAAACCGAGGCAGCCATCTGCAGCACCAACTCACACCGATGGTTCTAACCATCGGGGGCAACTTGGGGGTTCAGTATTTTGCCCAAGGACACTTTAACATGGGGACTGCAGGCACCGTGATTCAAACCTCCAACCCTCCACTACCCACTGAACCACAGTCGCCCCCATGTATGTATGTACCATGTACTCTGTTCAACAGAAGCTTCAGGTGTCAGCTGCCATGTAAACTATCATGTGACAGACAGTGTATTGGATGGTAGTAATTAAAATCTCCCTACCCAAGAGCATGAATTAAAAACATCTCTGATCTTAATATGACTCAGCCAGTTTAACAACTGGACAAGGTTGGATCCTAAGGGAATTTCATCAATGTAAGTCTTGAATTAATTAAAATTCTGCTAACCACATGCATAAATTGCTTTGTTAGGTATTAACAGATGTGTCTTACCCCTCTCCTGTAAGTGCACAGCAGGACTGTATGTGCCAGGGATGGTCTTTGATGGAGCTCAAACTGAGGTATTTGGAGATCTCTGCTGCAGACATGCAGTTCTTCATATCCTGCTTATTGGCAAATATCAACACTGCTGCCTTCCGCAGGTCCTGAGGAAGACGACAGAGAACAGTGGATCCATAACCTGTTAACCTCAAACTCAAATCAACGTTCATTACAAAATCAAATCAAATCAAATAAAATCTGTTCTGTGTAGTGTTTCCCTACTGAGATGTATCGAGACAAGAGTTTTACCTCATGGGACAACATCCTGTAGAGCTCTTCTTTTGAGATGGCCAGCCTCTCTCTGTCTGTGCTGTCCACCACCAGGATGATGAACTGCAGAGCAGGAGACAAACGTCACTCTGAGCGACCTTTTTTCAAAAGACATTTACAGCAATAAAATGCATCACAGCAGGTGGGTACTTCCAGGCCAAGAGCCGCACAATGGCTACTGGTGACTGCTATGCTACTAGCCCTGTCTGAATGAGACAGCGTGACCCTATATCACAAAAGACCATTCTGGAGAGGTGTGAGAGAGCCCGTTTAAACCAAGGCAACCACTCAGGAAAAGGACTTTCTGCATTATTAGCAAATGGTTCAACACATGAATGTGACCCAAATCACAACCTGGGTGATACCTGACTGCTCTACTCTGAAATGAAAGGGTGAATACAAATTAATATAGAAACTGTAGGCCCCTGGTAACCACTGTAAGAAGTCTACTGAAATAGATATTTATTAGGGCTGCACGATAAATTATTTGGTGAGTGTGATTTAGATCCCTGTGCAGTCTCAGTCTCATGTGACAATGATTCTGCCGTGTTTGCATTAGCAGGGAGAAACCTTGGATCAAACTATGCACCCCCTTTTTAAAATCTACCCACCCAACAACTGGGTAGCTTTAGCTCAGTGATTAACACCACTGACTATAGTACAGCAGCTCAGGGTTCACTTCCATGTTAAGGCATGCTTGCTCATTTTATGGGTATGATGCAGACTCTTATGCAATCACTTTAGGTAATAAAAGGAGTCAGTAAAAGTTCCAAAAACGTACTTGATAAGCAGGTGACTGGCACAGTGGTTAAGGCCACTGACTGTGGTACGACAGGCTGTGGGTTCGAGCCAGTTTGCTGAGCATAGATACTTCCAAAAGCATGACAAGCACCGGTGGGCGTTCACGGTTGGGGCACCTCCATGAGGTGCATTGTGGAAAGTATGGTTGGGTCAAGGGGTGTGGATGCCATGGGAAATGGGTGTTTACAATTGGGGTACCTTTGTGAGGTGCACCATGAAAGTAAGGTTGGTTGAGGTGTGTGAATGCCAGGGAAAGTGGGGATCTCCCTCCTCCCCCACAATGAGAGACTAAGATTGGAGGGGGAAGAGAGAGCCTTTTGTTTTAAGTCCAGTCAAAACCAATGTTCCCAGCATTCTCTCACTCCACCCTACTCTTACTGCCCCTTTCCGTGGCATCCACACACCTTGACCTGACCGTATTTTCCACAGCTTTCATGGTGCACCTCGGGGAGGTACCATGACCGCCCACCGGTGCTTGTCATGCTTTTGGAAGTATCTATGCTCAGCAAACTGGCGCGAACCCACGACCTGCCGTACCACAGTCAGTGGCCTCAACCATTGTGCCAGTCACCTGCTTAGCAAGTATATTTTTGGAACTTTTACTGACTCCTGTTATCAGTTAATGATCTTGCACAAGGATTGAAATCACAGGCAAAACAATGTACCATGCCTTGACAAGGAAGTGAACCCCGACCTGGCGTGCCACAGTCAGCAGCATTAACCACTGTGCTATACAGCCATTTCAAACTTCTTTTGGCTTCTGCCATTGGTCATCTACACAGAGGGCAAAACACTGGCGATCTGTGCTGCTTTTGTAAGTAAATGTCCACACAGAACATGCTCTTACTCATCCTCTATTGCAGAATCAGAATCTGCTTTATTGGCCAGGTGTGTCAGATACACGAGGAATTTGACTCTGGTACATCGGCTCTCAATGTGTATGTACATATCCCCATGCAAGGGGCAAGTAAACAGTAAACCAGCATAAGGCTGTGTAATATAACAAAATAAGCAGTATTAACAAGCAATAAACAGTGCATACAATGCAAAATAAGCAGTATAGACAGGCAGTAAACAATGCAGACAAAAATGTTCACTGAAG